ATTGCATTATTATTCATAATCAATGTTCTGTAAAATACTTTATAAATGTTTCGCATATTGCTTTATATAAATGTATATCATATAATATTTGTTAATTAATTTATTTAAATTAAATTATTTTTCAATAATAAATTAAACTATACCGTTGTGTGAATAACAAAAATAAATAAAAAAACGATAAATATTGTCAATATTGTCACTGAATATCTTGGTCTAATAATACTTTTATATAAATTTTAAGTACAATTTTCACAAGTTATATAACTGAGTAAACAAGGATGATCAATTTTAATCGTTGATGAAAAAGTAATAAAAAACAAATTTTACTATTAAGTAAGATAATTGGACTGTATACATGCTATCAAGCTATCAAGCTTTGTGATTTCTTTTCTAATTTTTTACTGAGTTCAAAATTGGAAATTAGTGGTTACATTCAGAAGAGAAAACATTTCTAAATGTTAATAATAAGATACAAAGGAGAGGATCAGGAGAGATGATATGAGATGATTGCTTCACTTGAGTTGAAATGGATACTTTTTCAGCAATACTTTGTCGTGCTCCAGATCCAGATATTAAAAAATTAATAAAAAATATGTAATGGCCGAAATTCCGTTAAAAATGATTGTAGAGCATAGAATTCCGCAAAAACTAACGAGAACTGTCGTTAAATCTGCTAATTAACACGATCTAGTATATGTACATAATCAGTTAAAATTTACATAGGCGCTAAACATGTGTGAAAAAACGCAGATTCGCGTGTGTATATTTGAATCGATCGCGATAATATGGGGAAAGTAATTAAAATCCGAGAAAAAAATCGTTGAGAAAAAGAGAAGATCCTATTGTTAGGATTATCTGAAGTAAAACAAACGCTGAGTCACCTGAGTGAAAATAATTTATCATATGGGAATCAGAGAGAAAAAAATTATGAATAGCGATTCAATTTCGCATAGAAATTCGAATCATTCATTTAATGAACTGACAAATATAACGAAAAATTAATTTTCATCTTCTTCTATGCTCTTTGTCAGAAAAAAAATGTAGTGACAACTATATATAAAGACAATAACTATACATATAAATTTTATATGTAGAATTAATGTATATACATATATATATATATATATATATATATATATAATATATATACAATTAAATAAGCTATTTTATAATAATCATAAATAGTTTATTCAATTACATATGAATATTAATTTTATTTATAAATGTATATAGTTGTCATCTTTATAGTTGCTGTCACTATTTTTCTCAGAGTTTACTATCCAATCGCGATTTTGTTAATTAAAAGTAATTTCAAATATTAGTTTGAAGACAGGAAAGAAGACACAATCGATATTTGAATATTTTGTCTATTGAATCGCAAGAGAAGATTATCTTACACATCTCGTTCAAGTTGCTGAAAAATTTATATTTGTCATCGACGTGAAATTTGGCTGCTAATTAAAGCATTCGCATGCGTGCATAGGTATGCAGAATTATGTTTCACTTCATGAGAAATATGATTCTCTCTCTCTCGAGAGCGCGTTTCGAATCAGAATATAATAACCGGAGGCTTTCACTCCGAAGATGTCAGTCTCGCGCGGAATTAAAATTAACGAAACGCCTCCGAGAGACGCTGCAGAGAAAGATTCTCTCTTTCTTTTCTTTTAACAGATTACTGATGATCGCGCCGTCTCCAAGAATGTACGTGAGAGTCCTTTCGTGATTTTATTAACATTCCTTAAGAAACATCAATGTACAATGTATACATGAAAAGCAAAAAATTCGATATTACCGATTTATAAATTATAAAGTAAAGTATACATCATACTAGAAATGTATATTGCTATAATTTTATATAAAAATTTTTACATAAACAATTTATATTTTTTATAAATCATATATAAGAGCGTTTATATTATTTTATTTTTAATTAGGATTTATATCATTATGCTTCAATTTAAAATTAAATATCTATTTAATTTATTTCGAAACAATTTATCTCGATATAATTTATCTCTTAATTTTTAATATTTATCGATTCCTTCTACAAAAATATGACTTTTTTGGATTTGTATAATATTTTTTTCGCAGGTGCGTTGGAAAAGAATAATTAATTTAATAAAAGAATAAAAAATCTAAAAGTTATCTAAAGACTTTTAGATAACTTTCAACTTAACTCTTCTGATGATATTAACTGTGTGTTTGTAGTAATATTAATTAATTACTTTCGAGATAATTATTGCAAATGAAATATGACGGTGGCTCTTCGTTTTACCGTTAATACTTGAAGAATTATTTAATTAATCAGGGTATCATTATCATGACAATTATGGATACCAATCTATCGAAAAAAAATCCAAGATAATCCGCTGCACCTTAAAAGTATAATAGAAAATTATTATCGCGAGTAGCGTGATCTCACTCGTATAATATATGTAATCGACGAGATTGTATCGCTTCTTCGCTTATAATAGGCAAGAATGATGTATATATTTCAATCAAGATAATAACATAATCCAGAAATATATTTTAAAGACAAATTCAATTTAAAAAAATAATTTATAGCCAACAATAGTTAATACAATGTAAACGAAGGACAATTTTTTCATTCTGAAGTGTTTTGTTCTAAAATTCTAGTGTTCCATGAACTATATTTTTAACTCATATATCAATTTTATATCATACTTATGTTTAATAAACGCATAATATATCAACATTTGTTTATATTGTGCTTTTTGGATAATTATTGCAACATTGAAATTGAAATACAATAGGTATCGTTAAAATTTGAGATTATTATCAAATTTGAGATTATTATCAAATTTATTTAAAAAGATTTTATATTGTTGCTTGTATAGAAAACAATGAC